CTGATCCATGCAATAATCATTATTCCAGTGCTGTATCTGATAGTAGTGCATAAGAATCCTCTGAGATATTTTCTTGGTTTGAGAGATGCCATAATCACAGCATTTGGAACCTCCTCAAGGTGTGTAAGAGTAGGAAACAGAGAACCAAATGTTTCTTTTTTTATCACAGTGTGTTGCAACTCCCAGGCATGATCAATATGTAACTTCTCCACACAATGTCTGTATATTTTCCTGCAAATAGGTAGAGAGTATAGATCATTCAGCTTATTAGCCAGAGAGGGGAGTGAAGGGTTACAAGAGACAGGAAGTGAAGGGCATTATTGTGGACAGGAAGTAAGAAAGAAATGTCCAAATGCCAACATTAAGTGTAACACTTAATCTGCTGCATTTCATAATGAAGGATACAGGAGAAGTGAGTTAATGTTAAAGGCTGGGAAGTAGAGAACACTAGGGTACAGAAAGCTTAGATCACCCTTTGGCTGATATTGCACGTACGTTAGGTAAATAATTTATTTAGTGGTTATAGCTGCATCACCTCATATTTTAATCAAAACTGCTCAGTTGAAAGTTCTACTGCTCTGCGCTTTTCTTTTAGCGAGTTAGCCATATGTTCACTTGTGACTCTGAGTTGGTAACTTCCTTTATTAGTCTTGAATTAATTGACTTAAAAGCTCAGAAAGGGAAGTTGTTTGGTTTGGAAAACCAATGGCAAGTTGATAATTTTAAAATGTTTTTTTTCTTTATCTTTCCAGCTCTGCAACTCTGCCAACCACCATTCGTTGTCTTGAGGAGCATAACAAAGTTGATGCCCGCATCAGTCGTTTTGTGCTACCTCTTGGTGCAACAGTAAATATGGATGGTACAGCTTTGTATGAAGCTGTTGCTGCTGTGTTTATTGCTCAGGCCAATGGCATCACTCTGAATGTTGGACAGCTGATAACAACATGGTAAGCAAGGGGTAAAACTAGGAATGACAGAAAAAAAAATTCTCCTCACAACAGCTATGCATTTTCACCTAGAAAAGTGACGAGAAAAATGAAAAAAATTCATCTGGGAAATAATGTTTGATTTATCACCAAATTTTAAAGATAAATACTGTTCTCTATACATTTCCTAAAAGTGCTGATTGGGAGAATTTGTGTAATCCTTTAACCCCTAAGAGTGACAAGCATCTAATTTCTCCTTACAATATCACCCTGAATCATGCAGTAAGGTCATGAGAATAAAGACAATTATAAGCAGCTAAAGAGGCTGTAGATTGTTACACAAATTCTCCTCGTCAGTGCCTAAGAGAATGTATGAGAAACAGTATGGAGAATACCTTTCCTGATATTAGGTTGTAAAGGGTTAACAATCTACATCCCCTTTAGTTGGTGATCAATTTGTTTATTTTCATTGACCTTCATGTTTGATTCAGGGGGGGGGGGATATTGTAAAGCAAAATTAGATGTTAGTCACTCTTAAGGGAAAAGGGTTAATTGCCCAGAGCACTAAAAATTTACATGGACAGGGTTCAAAACTAAGGTGAACCTCTTGATCTGCTCTTCAATGTCCCAAATGTTTACCTTTAAGTCACCATGTACTCTCTGTACACAGTAGCTTTACTAAAAGTTATTTATGTCCATCTTCCTGTAGTTTCACAGCCACTGCAGCTTCTATTGGTGCCGCAGGAATACCACAAGCAGGACTGGTTACCATGGTGCTGGTCCTCCAAGCTGTCAATCTACCCGCTGATGACATTGGTCTCATCTTAGCAGTGGACTGGTTTTTGTAAGCTATTGTTTCAGTTAAATTTTCCCTTTCTTAGAAATATATTTATAAAGCCTACCATTGAAAATATGTGTAATTCAAGTTGCTTCATGCAGGTTCTCCCTGTGACTTCCATTTGTAAATGGTTTAAGATAATTTTTGCCACAAGGAGTAAAATCATCAATTTCTGGTAGCAATGTAAATGAAAATAATTCCGTACACTGCTTGGAAAACATTGAATTTAGTCAGGTAACAAATGGCTTGACCTTAAGTAAGTGGTTCAGTTCCTTGGCTTTGTTACAGTTAACCCTTTAACTCCCATGAGTGACCAACACAGAATTTCTCCTTACAATATCAATACAATATCAACCAGATAAGTGAAGAGAATAAAGAAAAATATCAATTTAGGAATAATTCTTTGATCCAATACTAAATTCTCTGAACTAACATTATAAGAATTGTATGATTGACAGTAAGGAGAATTACAAATTTGATCTGGGAATTAAAGGGTTAATGGTTTGGATCAAGGGGTAACATTTGAGATCTCCTGGGTTGTGATTTACCACAGAATGTTGAGATAGGTATGAATTGACCAGCAGGTTCCACATGAACTGGCACAAACTGGGTTAGAATCATCTGAATTTGGGTGCAAATTGAATGAGTGCAAAACATCTGTGGATTAAAACATTAAAGGATATCATACAAAGTAGTGACGGACTTTTTGAAAATCTTTGTGGTGGTCATAAGCAGAGTTGAGGACTTGTCATCATCAGTCATGATCAAAAACTCATCATCATCAGAGTCAAGTTATGTGTTCCACTAAGGTTGTCAAGTAGGCATAGACCTGATAAACATGGTTGTTACCTCATTTTGACAATCTTCTTTTTCCTTGGCATATGGTATCTTATGAGCTGATACTTAAATGTGTGAGCTAAATTTTGCACAATTCTCATTCATGGCTGTAGGGATCGTATCCGCACTGCTGTGAACGTTATTGGTGATGCCTATGGGGCTGGTATTGTTGAGCACCTGTCCCGCAATGACCTGATGTCAATGGATTACACTGCACGAGAAGAGGACATTCCCATGGAACAGTTTGACAGATACACACCAAAACCTGAAGGTACCAATGGTGTACATACAAGTGATGCATCCCTGCGTGCAACAAACTTCTAAGAGTGCTCTGGCCAAGCTGTAACTGGATAATAAGCTCCACTGTAAAAGTTATAAATATAACGGTTAATTATTATAGTTTGTAACTTAAGAATGGATGTAATGGAAGATTTGTTTTGTTCTAACATGGTAAGCTTTCCTTTTTTCATCAGAAGTAGCAGGTTTTTTATTTTAAGGGCATCATTAAACCCTTTTAACTTGCAAGATCTGGTTGTCAATTCTCCTTGCTACCTACTACACACTTCCTTGTAAATAAGTGACAAGAATTTGGTGTTAGATCAAGATAACAACTTCTACCTGATAAGTTTGAGTTTTTTTCATTTATTTACTTGTTTGCTGGATAATGTATGGATATTATTGGAAAAAATTGCTTGTTAATCACTTCTGGGAATTGAAGGGTTATTAGCAATTAAAATTATAATAATCAGTACACTGAGAAAAGTAAACAACTTTTTGTAATGACTTTGTTAACTCTTCACTTGATGGGGCTTTCCAGGGCCATTGTAGATAAAGAATAAAACAAATTTTCTAAATAGACGTGAATTGTTTAAAATTCACAAATTGCTAAAGGAAGACTGATCGGCTATTTACAGACTGCAGGAAAGTAGTTAAACTTGGGGATACATAGAAAAAAATACACAGTAAATGAGGGTAACCCGTGGGAAACGCATGATAGTGTGGTCTTATTGTCTGGGTGAGTGTTGTCCTGATAAGGACTGTTGACAGTAGTAATGGCCAATGTCTTAATAACCTGAGCGGAAGTCATCATCAGAATTAAGTGAATGGTTGTTGTTGGTCAAAAAGTCTGGTTCATTTTAACTGATCGGTTAGTTTTTCCCATGATGTTGTTGGCTGCAAGACTCAGGTGGAGAGTGAAAAATTTAGTGTGTATTAAGACGGCATGCAAAGACCGAGTGTGAAGTTCATTCAGCAATTGATGTTATGCCTACTTATAAGAATACAGAGGTAAGTAATTCTGGCAGTAGTTTAGGCAAGCAGTACAATAAACCTAGAATTTCTAGCAGGGTAGTTTCTGTAATATAATTTTGCAAAGAGCAAAATGTCTTGTAGGCAAGTAGTATAGTATACCTATACAAACTATATCCAAAAGGTTTCTTAAATAAAAATAAGGTGTGGTTGGTGTAATGTTGGTCTCTGATTCTAGCTTTACTTTTAAGTGTTGAATGCAAGTCTTATTTAACCCTTTAACTCCCAGATCAAATTAGTAATTCCCCTTACTGTCAACCATACAATTTTTATAATGTTAGTTCAGAGAATTTTGTACTGGATCAACTAATTATCCCCAAATTGATATTTTTCTTTATTCTCATCACTAATCTAGTTGATATCCTATTGATATTGTAAGGAGAAATTCTTCCTTGGTCACCTATGAGAGTTAAAGGGTTAAAGTGTGCTTCAGGGCAGGTGCTTCAGGACTCTGACGTTACTTCAGTTACTTCATTTTTTGATATAATTATGTTTTTCACAAATTTTTTGTAATGAGGAGTCTGTATGATGCCTCTTAACCCTTTACACCATAACCTCAGTATCCGTTTTCTCCAGACACTCCTCTATACATTTCTTTTGGTGCTGACAAGGAGAATTGGTTTAACAATCAAAGTTTCTTTGGTTGGCAAGTTTTTCCTTTATTCTCATGATCTTAATGAATGATTCCGCAGTATTACTGTAAGGAGAAACTAGATGCGGGTCACTCTTGGGGTTTAAAGGATTAATATAACAGATACATCTATTCAATGATCAATCCTGGAAATGTCTCATTGCCAAGCCATATTTTCAAGCTGCCTTTGGATCTAGAAGGAGTTTTGTCAAGATGAGCAAGTTAAAATGCCTGAGGTTACAATAGGGATTAAATCAAATTCACCCTGGTCATCCAGTGCAAGAAGATTTCCTTGTCCTAATATAGCAGCTATTTTTTTGCTCACCTGGCCATTGAGCAAAAAACTCTGGTCAAGCCACATCTCGATCAAATCCCAAACAACATGCTGAATTTCCTTTTCCTTATCCTCCAAAGATTTAAATAAAGACTCTCCTTATGGTTCACAATACATCTGTTAGAGTTTGGGTTCCGAGAATTTGGCTTTTAATCAAACTATATTCTTCTGCTTATTTTACTTCTATATTTTCATCAACAAGACTGAGACTGCTTGGCAATGCAGTTATTTAATAATTTGAATCGGTCATGCTTGGGATGAGAAGGCAAATTGTCAATAGCCATCCGGAGTCAGTAATCAAACACTGTTAGATAATTCTGATTGAAGTAACATCTCAGTCAGAACAAAGAGATGGTTTCTACATAAGGTGTACAGGTGTCTCTGCTATGCCCTGACAGTTCAGAGGTAGACCATCAACATAACCCTTTTGCTTTCAATTAAAGAACTACCTCTTTCTCGAAAGTCCTTGATTTCACCCATGGATAAATCAGTTCTCCTTTGGCCAATTTCTTGATTAACAATAGCCAATCCTGTTTGTATTCATCTTGATCTGGGAACTTTTCAAGCAACTGCTGAGTAAACAGTTCTGTGATGGGAAGTGGTTGATTGTGAAGAATTAGTAGAACAGTTGGTGAAGGAGCTGTTATGTCCAGAGGAAAATCCTGCAGTGTGTTGAGTTCTGCTTCTGAAGGAGCCAATGAGTTAACATATTCAAACTTGATGCCTCCTAAAGAAAATCAATAAAAATTACAATGTTATATTAGTTGACATTAGAACAGATGTTGAACATTTTGCCTCTTGGGTTAGAAAAGTTAGGGAAATTCTACATGAAAGGATGTCATCCCAAGATAGTTTGGATTTCATGGTCAGATACACCGATCAAACACCATCTGCATTATGGAAGTACTAATTTCAATATTTACCTGGTATCAGATCTGGTCTGAAGAAAGCAGTGATCAGTGGAAACACTGGTAGATTATTCATCATACCGATGATTCTATTGACAGCACCCTTCACAAACAGGACAATCAGTCGCAGGGTGGTAAACACAACGTAGTACATGGCAGTTGTCGGCAACAAGAAGAGGAGAATGGTAAAGCACAGGGTTCCTAAAAACAGTCTGTCCACCCTGTATGGAACAATGTCCTCTTGATTCTTTTCAACATTCCATTTTCTACCTGATGAACAAGTGAAAGAAAAGCATGCTTTCAGTTTGTCACAACTTAAAAGTAAATTTCAATATAGGACTTAACATCTTCATTCTTGAATAGTTTTCTATCAACTCTCTTTGAGGCTTTGATCAGCACACTCAGGTCCTGTAAGCTGTCCAGGGAAGAATTGAGATAATTCATATCTCTATGCTGTTGCTTAAATAATTTCAGGTTTAAATAATTTCAAACTTATTTGATTTGTATTTCCCTCAAAAGATCAAAATGTGCTTAGAGCAAAGGAGAAAACAAATAAAACCATTTGAATCTAACTTTCATTTCTAGCTACAACGGTTAAGTTGTGGTTCAAATTTTTCCTTACTTAAAATATTTTCAAACTTGTTAAATTTAGCTTTTTTCCCCTCAATTCTATTGGTATAAGCCAACACAGAGGATAAAATCAACTTGATTAGATATCCAGCTCCCCCCTCATCCCTGTCAAAAAATTCTGACGACAAATGAAATTAATTTCCTTTCTTCCACAGAAAAGAAATGTATCCATATCTACTTTAGTACAGAAGATCTTTAATCTGGGAGCTCAAGAATCCTTTTGTATCTCATAATCTGGGAGAGTCAGCATATATTTAATACGTTAAACAAACCATCTCTAACCTGTAAATAGTTTAGCCAACAGCAACAACTTCTGTAGTTGGAAGTTATACAGCATTGCAGCATACACATAAAAGCAGTAGATATGGAGTGTTATCAAAGACATAACATCTGATGCCAAAGACAACAAGAATGTTGCTCCAAAACAACCTGACATGATGATAAAACTGATGATAATCTGAAGATACGGTTCAATATAGCTAAGGTAAATTTGCCAAAGAAACAGGTGATAAAGAAAGAAAATGCTCAAATATTCTGCTAGCTTTTGGTTTATTTTGAGCCCAGCTGGGGCTCCTTGTAACCACTCCAGTAAAGAGGTAATCCACTGAACAACAGCATCAGTCTTTTCCATCATTAAGTCAGTAGCGCATGTGTTGTAACCATTTGAAAAGAGCCATAACACAATGAAAAGTCCCAACACAACATCAATTGCAACTGCACTAAGAAAACTGCCAAACCACACCACTGGAAAAACATTGCTCCTTACACTCGCATCAATCTTCATAGGTGAATTTCTTGACTCTGTTGAGTGGCCAGTATAATCTTGTTTGTCCTTTAGAGCTGTAGAATTGCTAAAACACAGCACCAGAGCTCTCATTTGCCTAACACGTGTACACAATTGCAGAAACACAGCAGATAATTCTGAAAAGAATTTGATTGTCTCAATTACAACTGGGTGTTCTTCCTGCTGCCTTTGATGAAACAAGGCATAAAAAAAAATAACAACTTTCATGCCAAAGTTGGACAAAAGCCTCCAAATCTCGCGAATTGGTTTTCTAAGAGTTTCTGTTTGTGTTTCAAACAATCTATAAATACTCTCTTCTGCTTTGTGGGAGTTATTCAGAAGTTCAATGACGTTTGATAATTCTGTGGGGCACGTTTGCTCCAGCAACGCTTCTGATTTCCTCCAGAATTTAATGCCATCTGGAACTGCTGGTGAGGTGGTCAAAAACGCATTTCCAGTAGGTTGTTTGTAAAAAATTACCACAGATCCATTCGTTATCAACGAGTTTCCGACATGGCACAAATGAAAAGTGTCGGTGAACCTTATCAAACGTAGAATGAAAAGTCCGTCAGTTAACGACCTGGACAAGGTTTTTAACACAGCAAACACTTGACCGACAGATTTCTCATCGTTATCATTTAGCCAAACTCCAACAAGGTACAAAGCACATTCGTCAAAAACTCGTTCGCAAAAACTGTCATAGATTTCGCGTGGATGGATGACTGATGCAGCGACAAAGGTACTTGTTTGTTCATTCTTCCAACCAAAGATGAAGCCACTTTTTGCTTTCAGGCAATGAAGAGGAAAAT